AATTACACAAACTTTGAATAAGTTATATTTTTAAAAAAGGAAATAAATACTCAAAATTCCTCACATCCTAATTATTTTACTATTACCTATTCTCTTGAGGTTCCATAGCTTATTGTATCTCTATGGTGGAAACACCATACAATGGTAGGCTGCTACCCAAACTCATCTCAACTATGAGTTCAGTGACATGATGTTGAAATCCATCACACAGGTGGTATTTACATCACAGAATTAGCAAATGCTATAAATCAGGGCTTGATTTATTGTTTTCTTGACCGCCTAGATTTAGAAAAGTAATGGGGAAAATGTTAATAATGCAGACTAAACTTAAAAGCATGTCATTTTTGCTGTTACACTGTAAATAGCACAAAAAATCTGATTATTCTTCCAGTATTTGAAAACTGCTGAAGTCACTGATCGATGAGTGAAGCTCTAGCGTGTTTGTTTCACTATCATCTTATTCTTTAATGTGTATACACACATATACCTTTTTTTCATAAAAGTAGTTATTAATATACACCACTGGCTAGATTATTATTCATCAAAAAAGTACCATTAAAATTTGTGCACTTTTCTTCAATAAAAATATTTTTTATGAAGTCACTGTTCATTTATATAATCAATCAATAGCTCTCAAAAGAATACGTCAATCTAGTTTCGAACATCTCTCCATATCAGATATCCCTAGACTTACTCATGAGAAGGAAAGCCTTCTCATGATAAATGGCCATTTGTTATGTATAATTCAATGAAATAAAGTCCTTTAACAACGTTAAAATGAATTCAGAGAATATAATTTACCGTCCTTTAATCTGAATTCTATTTAAAAGCATATATAGCTTCAATCATGAGATAATGGAAGTACTGCTCATTTCACTGAGTTAATTAACCATAAAACTATAATCTTAAAAATACTTGAGAATCAGAGTTTTATAAATTAAGGTTATAAAACAAAAATATTTCTTCTACTACCTGATATTTTACTTTTAGATTATCCTTCTTAAATAAAAAAATCCTTTCGCTACTTCTATGTATATTTCTATTTGACTCTAAGTTTAAACAGCAAAATAATAAAAAATCTGATTTTCCCAGGTGCCATGATCTAAATGTTTATGTCCTTCCAAAATTCATGTTGGTATCTAAGCCCAAATGTGATGGTATTAGGAGATGGGGTTTTCGGAAGGTGGTTAGGTCAATGAGGTTTCTGCCTCATGAACGTAATTAGCGCCCTAACAAAAGATTCCCAAGGGAGCCTGTTGGCCCTGGGAGCACCCTGTAAGGACACATAAGAAGGTGCCATCTAGAAGGAACAGACCCTCAGCAGATACCACATCTGCTAGTGGCTTGTTCTTAGACTTCTCAGCCTCCAAAACTGTGAGAAATAAATTTCTGTTCCTTCTCAATTACCCAGTCTAAGCTATTTTGCTATAGCAGGAAGAAGAGACCAGATACATTGAAATAAAACTGAAAAAAATATAGCTTAAAAGTTAATTCATTCAGGCCAGGAGCTACATTTCATTAACATTTGCATTTCTAGCACCTAGAATTATTACTGACACAAAATGTGCACTTAATAAGGATGTGTTCAACAAACAGAGTACTAGTTAGACTTATGGCTGACCCTGCAGACCTCAGGGGGGAAAATGATAAAGCCTCAACAACAGATCACTATGCAAAATGATTGTTACTTACTGAAAAACAGCATTTTAAGCTGGGACCTAACCTGAAGCCTGTCAGTAATTTTAAAAAAGAAAAAGAAAAAAGACATAATCACTCTCAGGAAATAAACTGGTACTCTTATAAGAAGATAGTAAGCACTTTCAAATAAGAGGCTGTATAGCATAATGATTTAAAAACTCAGGTATTACAATTAGACAAGGTTCAAATCCTAGTTCACCATCTGCAGTTAAGACTTCAGTGTCTCAATTTCTTTACACATAAAACAGGAAAAATAATGCTGAGCTCACAGGATTATGCAGGGATCAAATAAACCAATAAATGTAAAAACCTTCAAAGAGGGCTTTTTTTGTAGAAAGCTTCAAAAAGGATAACTGTGCTCAAGGAAGACTAACATTTGCTACTACTGCTATTATTAGTTGTTTCATCATACAGTTCCCAACACCAAATTAAAAATCCAAAAATATACCAGGGACCTTAAGCAAGATACCTCTAACTTCTCTTATCCTCACTTTTCTTACATCTATAAAGTTAAGTACATAGTTAGAGTGCTGCAGCAGCTTTCAAAATTCTGACCCAGACAAAGTAATAAATGCATTCTGGATCATGAGCTGGTGTACATAAACGTATATGAATAAATTTGTATATATTTTATAAATAAATTTTTATCAAAATAATACTGTACTTATTGGCAATAAACTCTGAATTTTCTGTTTTCTAGTTCAATTTTAAAGCTGGTAGCAACACACAAAACTGATCTTAAGAAAAACAAATACAATAAACACTGAGGACTCCCATACCACTGAGGGTACTTCCAAACAACACTAATTTTCCTTCTTTTTTCTGAGACCGAGTTTCGCTCTGTTGCCCAGGCTGGAGTGCAGTGGCAGGATCTCAGCCCAGTGCAACCTCTGCCTCCCAGGTTCAAGCGATTCTCGTATCTCAGCCTCCCAAGCAGCTGGGATTACAGGTATGCACCACCACGCCCAGCTAATTTTTGTGTTTTTAGTAGAGACAGGGTTACACTATGTTGCCCAGGCTGGTCTTGAACTCCTGGGCTCAAGTGATTCACCTGCCTCAGCCTCCCAAAGTGCTGGGATTACAGGCGTGAGCTACTGCCACTGGCCCCAACACTCATTTTCAAATCAGCTTTTAGCAGAAGTAGATAGCTATTAGTTTCACCTAAGCTGCCTCAAATCCTATCGCAGGCTTCAGTGAGTTTTAGGAACTTCAGTATCCTAATGAATATTTGCGTGGTTACGAAAATTGTAACTGCATCAAATGTAACTTTCAAAGGCTAATGAAGTTTGCATGAGTTTGTTTTGAAAAATTATAGTCCCCTCTGTTTCCACAGTGACTCAGAAAATATCTTTTATCTCCAAACAACTGCAGAGTTCTTTTCTTTTCTTACATAAAAGGGTTACTTTCCAGTGACATTCTGAGTACTTACATGTCAATGAAAGAATAAAATTTAGAAAATCATTTGATAACATTATAAACGAAAGACAATTTATAATTTCCAGAAAAAACAAATGTATTTGACATTCAAAAAATGCTGCTTATTTTGTTCTTTGCTTAAAAGTCACATTTAAAAACTAACATTTAATTGTTCTGGATCTCTTTTGTTAAATCCAATCCAACTTTTCATCTAGCTCGGTAAGTGGGGATACTACATAACATGAAAAATCTTAAGGTTAAACAGGAAAAAGAAGCGTGACTTCACAAATTCCATTCTTCTAGTCTTCATCTCTTACTGTGAGATCTTAGCAAGTTTTAGCCCTCTGTACCACAGCTTCTTCATCAGTAAAGTGGGGATAGTAAGACACCTACTTCACAGGATTGTTTCATAAATTACTTTTTAATCACTCTGAACAGTGCCTAGCAAAGCAGCATCCAGTAAACCATGACCATGGTTCTTCTCTTCTGTAAATTCAAAACTGGAAGTTCCTTATCCTGTTCTAAAGGTTTATCTAAAAGCTGCTGGCAAACGGGGTTGGATTTCAGCCCCTACTGTATTCTCCATAATGCAAACCAATGCATTTTTATGCAATGCATAAAAATGAAGAAAAGAAACAAAAACAACATTTAAGATACAGCGTTTCAAGTACCCATTTATATGGCTTTTGATAATGGGGAGAACAAATTCAAAGTTAATGTATTTATTACTACCCTTTGCTAATCCCAAAAAGGATCTGAAATAGAATCACTTGCTGTTTTCATGGCATAAAAGCTCCCACAAATTACATTTAAAAAATCTAATTCCATTTTCAGTGTCCTATTGAGGCAGGGAGGTAGAATATGTCTTTGAATTATCTCAGAAATACTCAGAAAACACCAATTTTATTCTATCATGGTCTATGTATTACAAGACCTAGGAAGTTGGTCTAGAGTCCTTATCTACAGATCAAAATTACATGTAATAAAAATATTCAAATACAGTTTTGATGGATAACCACTTTTTATTAGATATGTCTTTATTATACATATCATGGTCTGAATGTGATGACAGATCCTGAATCTCTAGTAAAAAAACTTCTTTGTGGCAATTCAATTACATTGTCATTCATTTATGACATCACAGTAGAAATGGGAAATACTATCACTTAAAATTTTTTTCTCTTTTTACTGAAATTAAGGCCTAAGAGACACATCAGATCATCCTGGCTATCTCCTTCCTCTGTAAGATTATCCTCAACCCACTGTCCTAAGTCCTCTGTAAGATTATCTTCAACCCACTGTCCTAAGTCCATTTTAAGGGAAGTACACAATTTCCACCCAGTACTATGTTTATTCACCAATCAATTTCCTAAATAACTAAATGTGCACAATGAACCCTAAGCAAGGGGAATTTTCTCAAGGCAAAAAAAAAAAAAAAAAATCTTGTTCTACAATAATCTACAGATAAATCAAAGATACTTATTTTTGGCAGTAGTAAATCATATCCCTCATCTTATTCTGTGAACACATATATCTACTTTCTTGTCTTTCCCCATAACTGTTTTCACTTATTGCTCATTTCTATTCAGAATACTTATTAAAATATTTTTCAAAAAAGTTTTAAAGCCGTATTTTTTCTTACAAGGGATCCATTGCACTAAATATTTTTATACATGTATGTGTATATATATATTTACTATGCCTCTGAGGTCATTTGCATTGCAGCATGGCCTTCAAAATACAAAGACTACTTAGGCTTTGAATGAGACTTGTTTCTAACTTTTCCCCGTCAAAACCAGAGGATCCTGAAAAGCCAACACAAATCGTAACATCCACCAAAAGTCCTGGGCTTCAAGCGAGTGAATTACAGAAAGACAGCGTCTTGCCTTGTCATCTCTCCCTCTTGCTCTACAGTCCTTGTCCCTACTTGTAGAAGGCTTTTCACTCTTTGATATAGGATGTGCTCGGCCTACGGGTCCCCGGGCTCCTACTCCTGCCATTTCTTTCCTCAGAGGTCTTACTTCTCGATTAGGACGCCTGATCTGAGGTGGAGCTCTGACAAAAAAAAAAAAAAAAAAAAATTAAAATTAAAATTAATCAAAGGCAAAAGTATCTCAATACTACCTTAGTCAATAAAATTGTTAAATCAAAAAGTCCGAAATCTAATTTTTTCACCTTTGGCCAATTCACAGCCACAACTATAGGCTGGTTTTCCCAAATTCTTTTTTCTAAAATATACTGGCTGATACAATTATTAAATACACAAATGACACACAGCAGCAATTATTCTGTCAAAAGTTAACTATTAATCACCAATAGAGGGCAACACAGACTATCCCCATCTAACAATCTTAACAACGTAATGCAAAGGCAGTAATTTTATTCATTACTGTCCTAAACCAAGAATAAGTAACTTTTTTTTAGAAAAAAGCATTAAAAGCTGTAAGGATAGGAATTCTAAATAAGTCTATTTGTACATTTTACTAATTTCTGTTTGACGACCAAGATGATTTTCTCTGCTTCTATAATGGAAAATGAAACATTTCACTCATCAAATTACAAATGGCAGAGCTAACAATGAAATCTTTAAGTAATTTATGTTTAAAAATATTCATGTTTTGAGAATGTCTAAAAATTACGGAAGCATTCAAATTATACAGTCCTCCAACTGTGATTAAAAATTTTAATACATATATGCATTCAAAATAGCATATTTTGTTTCATCTACCGTGGAACTTGTCTCCTGCAAACGGTGAAGTTTTGAGGCTTCTCAGCACAGTTTTTGTCTCTTTTTGGTTCTTGGGAAAGGGACTCTATCACTTCGTGTCTAATCTTAGTTCTCTCTTGAAATGTCTCTACCTGTTTTCCTACCTTTTCTCTCTATATAGCTATGTATGTATCTGTAGCCCTCCAGATCCCATATGTGTATTCCATTTTTAACCACATGCCATATCTATTATTATCCCCTTTCCAACCTCACACTTACAATTCACCTAACTCATCATGGAGTTCCGTTCCTCCTATCAGAAAAGGTGACACATATGCATAATTCAAAGATAGGAAAATGGATAAAAAGCCATGACAGTTGCAAACGAAAGGCCAAAACGGTAAGAAAAAGAAAAAAAATGTGTTAACATGTTGCAAATCTGACATAGCATATTTAGATGCTGGAATTAGAGTCCACCATGAAATTGCTATGAGGCTGGTGAAAACCGTGTCTATGAGGTTACCATACACTGACATCTTAATCCTTAGGGTTCAGTCCAGTTAAACAAGTATTTACCAAGGCACCCATTAGGAGGTATATGGCCTCTACCACTCTGACCCTAGGAGGAGACAAAGACAAGGAACCTTGTGAAAGAAATCCACAGGAAAGGAACTACAGAATAGTGCATGGTAACGGCTATGAGGCATTTTGAAATTTAAAGTATTATTACATTATTGTCTTTAGGACATTAGCAGTCTTTTAAGCATTCTGCCTATAAAATAAAAATGTGGTGAGTCTGGTAAATAAAAAATTGTAATTGTTAAATTGCTCTATTTCTAGTATTTCGATGTGACCACTGTGTTTTTGTTTTTGTTTGTTTTTGATGAAGGGGTAGAAAGTACTAGAGTACAACTTTACTTTTATTTGTATATACTTGTGTACACATAAATGTCTTTCCTGAATCAGATTTATGGGTATGGCCAAAGACAGTAAAATGAGACCAACAATCTTTTCCACACAGGATTTGCATCAAGTCTGCTCTTCTGTGAGCGGCTTCACCTGCTGTTTAAACAGTCTGTTTTCTTTGTGGTCCTGCTTTTCGGACTCAACAGCTAGCCAGAGCCTCCGCTCACCAACAGCAAGCCCGTCCCTCCCAGCTGGATGGCAGCTGCTGGGGCGGCTGCGCCCGCTCTGCAGGACCTCATTGCTCAGGGTGCACCGCAGCAGGTCTCAGACAACACTCCTTCTGCCTCCTCAGCGTGTGCTTTCCCCACCTCAGCTTGCAATTCAACGACCGCCTAGGAGTCCTGCTGTAGTCCATTCTCCACACACATCTGCTCAGTAAAGCTGTACTGTGGAAGAATTGGTTCAAAACTCTTACACCGGCTGCATTCTGGGTGTTTGCCATTACTGACCTTGTCCTGCCACTCAATATTCTGATGGGCTCCTAAATAGTCTGAGTGAAACTGCTCAAGAAGCCAGATGTGTTGTCTGTGGCAGGGCCCCTGTCCACAGGAAGTGTGCCTCTGCTTTGTAAGTCTTCAGTTCCATCTCACTGCAACGGGATATTACATTTGTAACAGACTCTGTGGACTTCCCAAAGGACATCCTTGATTCTGTTCTGTACTTCTTTGTCCGCTAGCGCATCACTGCACAATGTCATGCTTCAATTTAAGGACTCAGTGACAGCTTCCAGGCTGTGTAAACAATAAAGGTCTCAAGGCTTCTTTTACTAGTCTCTCTTTAAAAAGAGACTTTGGTAGGATTACATAGTGTCCTTGACCGCTGCACTAATGGTCAAACAGACTGACACTGTACTAGCTTATAGCACTTCATATTTACAGAATAACAGGTGAAAGACAAAAGTATCTATACTGGGCTCAATTCTCCTATTTGAGATTTCCCTATAGGAATAAGAAAGATGCCTTATTCTATCACATGCAAATAAGCCTCATCTCCTTTGAAATCCAGTACTTCCTCCTTCTAAGCTATATTAAGTATCAATATTATATGTACATGTTCTTATTGGTACTGCTTTATATAGTCCAGATACAAGTCCTCTGTCACATACATGCTTTGCAAATATCTTCTCCCAGTGTATGATTTGCTTTTTTCTTTATTTTTGTATTTTATTTTCAACTTTTATTTTAGATTCAGGGACACATGTACAGGTGCAAGTCTGTTACAAAGGTATTTTACTTCTCTTAATGGTATCTTTCTTGATAAAGAGAAGGTCATAATTCTAGGAGTCCAATTTATCAATATTTTATATTTAATGTTTTAGTGGCCAGTTTAATAAATCTTTGCCTACCCCGAGATCATGATGATATCCCTCCCATGTTTCCTTCTAGAAGTTTTACTTTATTACTTTTAATATTTTAGGTATTGATTATTTTATATTAATTTTTGTATGATGTGAGGTGGGGAAGGAAAGTATCTTGATTTTTTTTCACCCAAATGGATAATCAATTACTCTAGAAGCATTTACTGATGCGACCCACCTTTTTCTACTAAATTTCAGTGGTGTCTTCACAAACCAAGTGACTTTTCAGAATTTAATCATTAAGGATAGCTTCTGGTTCTAAAATGGACTTTAGAAGTTTTAAATTATTTGCTATCAGATTATAAACAAATATTTTAAGTAGGAACCTTTAAAATATTATTAATTCTTTCAACAAATAGCTAAATCTTACTGAATGTAAGGCACTATGCTATACAATGTAAAAGGCTGTATTAAGGGTTGGACGCAGTGGCTCACACTTGTAATCCCAGCACTCTGGGAGGCCGAGACAGGCAGATCACTTCAACTCAGGAGCTCCAGACCAGTCAGGCCAACATGGCGAAACCCTTTCTCTACTAAAAATACAAAAATCAGTTGTACATGGTGGTGGGCAACTGTAATCCCAGCTACTCGGGAGGCTAAAGTAGGAGGATCACTTGAACCTGAGAGGCGAAGGTTGCAGTGAGTTGAGATCGTGCCACTGCATTCCAGCCTGGACCACAAAGCAAGGCTCCATCTCAAAGGAAAAAAAAAGTATGCCCTCAAAGGAAAAAAAAAGTATGCCCTCATTATCTAAGCAAATCAATTACATTCAGAAATATATGGAGCACCACAGACAATGGTATGACACAAGTTGTTATGAGTTGTTTTTTATCAAGGGTGCTTTTTGTGCAGAGAATACTCTTCAGAGGCTTACTTTGATTTTTAAAATATTCAATTAAATTTAAAAATGCACAAAGTCAGTTTTTCCTTAAAGCTTTCAGATTCAGCTACAATTTTTTTCTATGTATGAGTCTAGCAGATTTTAGAAGTCACTTTTAAGAGATTTTTTTTTTTTTTTCCTAAATCAGTCTCTCGGCCAGGAGTGGTGGCTCACACCTGTAATCTCAGCACTTTGGGAGGCTGAGGCAGGCGGATCACCTGAGGTCAAGAGTTCGAGACCAGCCTGCCCAACATGGTGAAACCCTGTCTCTGCTAAAAATACAAAAAATTAGCCAGGCATGGTGGTAAGCGCCTGTAATCCCAGCTACTTGGGAAGCTGGGGCAGGAAAATCACTTGAATCCAGGAGGTGGAGGTTACCGTGAGCTGAGATCATACCACTGCACTCCAGCCTGGGCAACATGAGCGAAACTCTATCTCAAAAAAAAAAAAGTCTCACTTACTCTGCTGCCCAGGCTGGAGTCCTGTGGCACAATCTCAGCTCACTGCAACCTCTGCCTCCCAGGTTCAAGTGATTCTCCTGCCTTAGCTGGGATTACAGGAATGTGCCACCATGCCCAGTTACTTTTTGTATTTTTGTGGAGACTGGGTTTCACCATGTGGGCCAGGTTGGTCTTGAACTCCTGTCCTCAAGTGATCTGCCCACCTCGGCCTCCCAAAGTGCTGGGATCACAGGGGTGAACCACTGCACCTGGCCCACTTTTAAGAGAGTTTAAAATAATGCTTGGTCCCATTTACAAACCTCGCTAATAAAATGCCACCAGAATTTTGTAACCAATATTTATAAATTTAATATATTTTCTTCTTAGTTCTTGTCTTAGTAAAGCATAATTTACATATAATTACCTTTATAAACTTATAATAAATCAAGTTTACAAATATAATATTAAATTTCTCCTAAGAGTTCCAATAAAGTATTTAACATACATTTTCATGTACGAAAAAAATCACGAGTCTAAATTATTCCATAATACATTTAAAGTGGAATTGCATACATGTCACCCTCATTAGCCTATTTTCTTAAATATTCCAAGTACATAAAAAATAAATATGCAAATATATACATATCCTTAAACAGAAAAACATTATTACCATAGTTTTCATCCTCTTAGACATATCTAGTCTTA